CTTGAATATTATCTACCAAAAGAGATGAGTCTCTCAAAGCGTATCTTGGAGAGAAGTACTTTGGCTCACTTCAGGAGGAACTCCTCAGTTTTCCCTTGGGTAGCTTGCCTACATATTTTCGAAGATAGTTTGTAATCCAACCCTTACAAAATGCTTCAAGACCTGATGAATGGGCAAAGTGCTTTCAGGTTTCTTCTCCTCTTGGAAGGAAGGTGAAAACTTTACATGTTTCCGGTTCACATTTACATCAATAAGTGCCTGACAATTCTCCAATATAAGATCATCTCCAAGGGAGGGGAGATGCAGGAGCAAGATGATGAGTTAAGTTGCAGCCAAATATAATTCCCTTTAAAAAGCCATCCTGACAAGCTGTCAGTCTGGATAGATCTGGTCTTCACTGAAAAGGCTAGGTTAAGCAGAACATCTAAGTATACCAATATAGTATGGTGTACAGGGCAATACAATGGAGTAGCTTTCATGATAGTTATAGGAGGCCTTCAATATTCTGTTCTAAGCCCAGCAATATCCACAAACTATATGCCAAAACGCCCAATGCAGAGAGTGCATGTGTGTTTTCAGCATAAAAAATGAGATGGCACAAGGGAGCACAGCTCCGTGGGAACCTTGGGCTCTTATTCTGGATCTTCTTCCTGTTACGAGTGTGAAGTTATTGAAAGATAATTGATTGTTCCTACGCAGGCTATTGGAACTAGGAGAGTCATTCCAGCTGCTCTGAATACGAATATAAACAGACATTTTCATGGAATACTGAAGTTTCCATATTGAGTGAAACACTTCCCTTCTGTCAGCTACACTGCTATTTAAAAAAGCCCTACAGACTGCAGAAGTGAGTGGAGAGTTGCACATTTTAATGAAAGGCTCTGACGCAAAGGATTACTGAATTTTGATAAAGGATTACTGTGATGGCAACACAGAGTACTGAGTACGACAAAGTTATTTATAAAGTTATTTGCTTCTGAGGCTTTACAAGATGGGATGCAAAACAAGTTTTCACTTCAGTTAAAGGGTGGTAAACAAAGTACACAGTTACAGAAACCAAGGAGAGATTACTCACATTGTGCGGTAACTACAGTCCTTCAAGATATTTCCCCACCACCACCACTCTTATGGATGGCTCAACTTCAGATGCCTCCCAGGAGGTTTGTATCAGAGAGTTTCAGCAGCAGTGCCCATTTGTCCCACACAAGCGCTCCTGATGGCCTCATGCCCTGTACTGAGATATAGAGCTGCATGGGCAAACTACCCCCAGTTCCTTTTCCACTGTGATTTCTGCGAGACAAAACTTTGAAGAAGTGCAGTTACTGCACAAGGTGAGTAACCTCTCCTTCTTCGAGTAATGTCCCTATAGGTGCTCCATTTCAGGTGACTCCCGAGCAGTATCCCTGGAAGCAGGAGGGAGCTTTGGATTTGAGTCCAACACTGAAGTTATAACTGCAATGTTAAAGACAGCATCTGATCTGGCAGCATGAGTCAAAGCTTAGTGTTTGGAGACCAGGTTGCCACTGTTCAGATTTCAGCCACTGGAATATCCTTCAGCAGTGCTACAGAAGCATGCTGAGATCATGTGGAATGGGCTAGGCACTTCAGAAGGAGGCTGAACCTTGAGAGTTTTGAGTGGAGATTGTGGATCCTCTGGATCGGTCTATAAACAAACTGTCTGGGAGACTTTCAAAATAGTTTGGTTCTGTCCAGATAGAAGGCTAATGCTCTTCGGACATCCAAATTGAGGAGGGAAAAATCTTCAGTGGTCTGGTGTGGTTTTGGGAAGAAGATTGAAAGATGAATATCCAGGAATATTATTGGTTAATACAGAATTCAAAATATAACTTTGGTAGAAGGCTATGATGTTGTCATAATGAAACTTTCTCCCTGAAGAATACTGTAAAAGGAGGGTCTGGGATTATAGCCCCCTTTCCCCAACTCTTTTGGCAGAAGTGACAGCCACCAAGACAGCAGTTTTCATGGCCAGGTGAAGATGGGAACAGGCAGCCACTGGCTCAAAGGGGACAATTAAGGACTAAGTTAAGTTTAGGGGTGAGCTCTATTCAGTGGAAAGGTTCAAGCTCTTAATGAATTTTGCTGTCCTGGAGTGAGCAAGCACTGAGAATCCCTCAACACAGCAATGAAAGGTCATTATGGCTGCCATAAGAGCTTTACTGAACTCATGGAGAGTCCTGACTTTTTCAGTTCCAACAGGTAGTCAAGGACAGCGAAGAGGGAAGAATGAACACGTGAAAACTGCTGCCCAGTACCACAGTGGTGAAATCTCTTACATTTCTGAAGGCAAATGTTTCGCAAGATATCTTTCTGCTGTTTAACATCACTGTTATACCTCTGCAGAATAGGAAGATGCTATCCCCAAGAACCATCAAGGAACCAAGCTCTGAGATGAAGAATTCCCAGGTTGGGATGAAGACTCCAACAGGAATCCTGAGACAGCAAGTGGGGAGATGCCAGACAACAAAGACGAATCAGCTAAGGGTACCACGCTTGACTTGGTCACTATGGGATAACTAAATATGCATCCGAAGAAGTGGGCTGTAGTCCACGAAAGCTTATGCTCTAATAAATTTGTTAGTCTCTAAGGTGCCACAAGTACTCCTGTTCTTCTTAAAATGGCCCTGGGTTTGTCTTGTCTGATCTTGTTCAACACTCTCAAGATCAAAGCTGTGGAAGGATATGCATGGAGAGGGGGCCTTTTTTCCAAGGAATGAGGAAAGGAGTCCACCCTCCTCTTGAGCAGAATTTCTTGTACTTCCTGTTGGTGGTGGCAGTAAACAAGTCCACCTCTGGAAACTCCAGGGTCAGAAAAATGCAATTGTGGATCCATAAGTCCAGCTCCCAATTGTTATCTAGGGAGAAGTGACAGCTGAGATTGTCAGCCATCATGTTTTATATACCTGGAAGTTGAGACTGAAATAAGGACGTGATTGGTTATTACATCAGTTCTATAGCTCTATTGCTTCAGCACTGGGGGTGGGGAAGTGGGGGAGATCTTGCACCCCTTTCCTCCTGACAATTGATGTAGAACATGCAGGCTATGCTGTCTGTCAAGACTTTGATGGATTTGCCTTTGATTAATGGAATGAAATAGTTACAGGCATTTTTGACTGCCCTCAGCCCCAGGTTGATGTGTAGAAGAGACACTTGGGTAGACAATTTGCCCTGAATGGTGAGTGTCCACAAGTGTGCCCCTGCACCCCACCATGGCTGCATCTAATGTTACGGTGATATGAGGCTGGATTAAAGGAACACCTGCACAAACATCGGATGGGTCCTTCCACCAACTGAGTAAGTCCAGTACTCAGTGAGGGAAAGACACTAAATTGTGCTTCTTCATGCTATAAATCATCCTGACCCATCCCTGGACACAGCAAAGATGTAACCTGGCATGTCATGTTACAAAGGTACAAGCTGCATGCGTTCTAGCAGTTGGAAGCAACGGTCTTCCCAGTGGTCACCATGAGAAAGGCATGAGGCTCTTGAAAACCGTTAATTGGTGGCCCAAAGATTCTAATATAGCCACTGAGGAAAGCCATTAAGCACAGAACATGGCATCCAATGCTGCTCAGACCAATGAGAAGGGACAAAGATTTGTCTTGCCCCTAGATCCTCTTTTTCCATAAAGGTGTCAGGGAAGATGTCCCTATGCTGACAGGTCCTTGCACAAAGATTTGGGAATCTGAAGAGGGGTCCTCATTATTGTCGACAGGATGAGCTCTGCCTAGCTCAGAAAGTACTGGAGGAGCAGGTGGCACCAGGGAAAGATCTAATCCTGGTGACCCGGTTGATATCAGTATCAACAGGTACTCCCCATTGAGAGGGGAGACTTCGGCTCTTCTGAGACAAACAAGTCTCTTGAATACCTAAATTCTTGTGGTATCAGGATTTGTGCTGAGAATGAGGGATGTTCCACAATCTGTACCAGGTTGAGACTTGCTTTGATGGGTCCTGTCTAGCAGAAGTCATTGATACCAAAGATGACGACTCCTTTGGACGCACCAAGGGACCCTGGATCACTTGTCTAGAAACCAAAGGCAGCACAGGATGGCCTGTCGGTACAGCGCTTCTGGAAGCAGAGAATTTATTGTCTCTCCTAATGCGTTCATGCTTAGGTGGTACTGAGTATAGCTTTGATACCAAGGTATGGTTGTTACTGTGGCTCTTTGAAGGGCTCTGAGTCTTAGAAGACTTCCCAGTATTACAGGAGCCTGGAGCCTCAGCAGTCCGGGACTTGAGGTCTCTGACAGAGTCAATTTCTGAAGACACTGGGGCTTTTTTGAAATAGGCTCTTCGTGAGGAGAACTAGAACTCCTCTTTTTAAGTGTCTATTTGGTACCCTCCAACATCTTTCCCTGAAAAGGTGGGGGGAAATCTGGTGCAGAAGCTGATGAGGCACTACGCTCAAAGGCTGATGTACAGGGGAGTACTGAAAAAAGCTCGCCTCAAATGAAGCAAAGAAATGATAAAATACAACTTGTAGAAGTGAATAATTACACGAAATTAAAAATTAGATGATCCTAAAGCAAGCTTAGGGCAACGCTAGAAGCAGGCATGCTAGACACTCTCTCAGGCTGAGAGAGGTTTGCCACACAGCTCTACTCATAGTTGGGACAGGGAACTTGGATGTCTGGAGTTCATGCATGGGCTTAACAGGCACTGCTGCTGAAAACCTCCAATCAAAGATGAAAGGGGTGCATGCACACCTGAAGTGGAGTGCCTATAGGGACACTACTCGAAGAAGGAAAAAAAAAGTTACCAGTTCAGTCTGTTCAAGCTGGTATAGCAACTACAGTTCATGCGAACACTGCAATGTGGAAGATTTGTTTTTGAAAATTTAGTGTACCATTCTGGTATATTTCTGTACTTCAATTTATTTTACTTTCAAGTTCAGGGTATAGGTTATGCTAGACCAATATGAAAAAGTTTCAGGTACGAGTTCAAAACAGAAAAGCACTCTAACAAAGCAGTTTCTTTACCTGCAGTTTCCGTGCCATAGCTACCACCTCATGATCAGCAGGGTTGTATTTGTAACAATTGGAAAACATCAATCGGACATCTGCTGCAAATTCCTGAGCATCTCTGTATTCCCGGTTCTCCAGTTTAGACTAGAAGGGAAAACAAAACTCCACTATCAACAGAGCAAGCAAAACAAGTTACTGAATGGACAAGAAATATCTTGGATCTATGGCATCCATAGAGTTCTGGGCTTCCACCTAATCTTCATCTCTATCTAACCTTTGCCAAATGGAGCACTGCTTTGGAAACTTGCCAGAAACCTGAGATCTGCATTGGATTTACATAAAATGGAGCAGATTACAGCCATCCTGAACTATAATATGGAGGTGCATCCAAAAGACGACTACAGAAATAGCATACAATGCAGCTAAACTGCTGAGACCAAAATGGAACATTGTATGCTGGAGCTGGTATTCCTTCATAGAACATCCCTCTATTATAATGGGCAGCTGCAAGCTACATGGGAGAACACGACTGCCCACATGTGGCAGACACATTCACTGACTACCAATTCAAAGGACAGTATGAAGGAACTAATCCACTAGATTACTGGTCCCCATGCCCATGAACATCATTACCAATCACAGTGCAGGGTTTTGTTTGAACAACAATGCGCTAAAACTTTACACACACACAACTGAAATTATTTTTTAAACAAACAAGTTTTTAATCTTTGTATCACTTTCTTATAAGAGAAATCCCAAACTGTCAGTAGCAGTTAAAGACATCCCGCAAGTCGGGTCAGTCCAGCATAGCAGTGACAGTTCGAGGAATTAGAAATTGGGACCACAGGATAATCCCTCCTTCAGGTCAGCAGGAACTTGGAAGCATTCAAGAAGGCAACATGCTTGGCATTTTTCTGTCAGACACAGGGAACCACATCCAACTGGCTGTGGCAATGTAGGATTTTTGAGAGTAGTGTGGGAACAAATCCCCCAAGGATCTACGGATGAATCTTATCCCCACCCCCGGGGAAGAGATAGAGCTTGATTAAAGAAACAAAGCAGTTGAACTGTGCAGGCTTAGTCAGTCCAGAGTGAGACTGTCAGGCATTACAAAAACACAAGCCTTAAAATAAACTCCCTGCACAGCAACCTCATTTTATTATGAAGTGAATGTAGTGGTGTGAAGCCCTGATGTGTGCAGATCTCAATTTATCGACAGTTGTCCACACCATCTCATTATATACCTCAATTTTTGTCTGAAGGAGCCAGAGGTGAGGATAGTTCTGTCTCCATGGCTCATTCAATCCTTTGCCTCTCTGCTGTGCCTGCCAACAACAAGGCCAAAAGTGATGGTGTTTTTTTGAGAGGTGGACACCTGACCATCAGCAACTGGAACAAGACCCACCAATGCATTTCATATAAACATAAAACAGTTGTCATGGGCAATGAGTTTTGCTCACAACCAACTTGAACTAAATTTCAACTAGTGACCTGGAATAAAGAACTTTGTTATCCCATTACCAATGCTTCAGCCATCCAGATCCTCTCTGTACTTGTGGTTTTTCAGAATTTCCTAGCTGGTTTTTTTTTTGGTTAGATTTGGAGAATACTATAGAATGCGCAAAGTTATTATGCATATTCAGAAAAAGGGGCGATGGTACCAGCTCAATCTTCAGCACAGTTTTTAATTATTCAATTGAAGAAAAAACTATACTCCTTCATTCACTTCATTCTGGCAAAGTTCCTAGTGTAATCTCAATATGGGCGTCGGGGAGAGAGAAATTTGTCTCTTTCTTCTGCTTAAAGTATTTAAAAAAAGAAACCTGGGTTGTGTGAATATTAAGGCTCAGAGTTGAATTGATACAACCAAAGAATTCTGCAGTTTAAAGCTATGTCCATGATGAGGTTATAAAATGACAGTGCTCCAAACAATGAATTGACATTTTCAGCAGAGATATGGACTGCTTTGCAATTACTTCTCTTGGATAAGTAACTCTCAAATACTCGATGAGAGGGAGCTAGCTGTGTCCTCACAGCAGAAGGCTTCGATTTAAATGCTCTGGAAACGTAGTCCTTTACATTAAGCAGAACATTTCCTTTAAAGGTGAATAGCCAATGTGGTGGTGGTTTTTCTTTTTTTTGTTTTTTAAAGAAAATTCCCCTACTACAGCAATCTGTACTGACTGATTGAGACCATTATCTTGGCTAAGGGTATTCAGTGTAGGCTGGCCATAGTAGAGGACATTTACTTTAAAAAAATGCACAGGCAATTTTTTTATTTTATTTTTTTAAGACCCATTCTGGAAAGGACTGTCTTCTTTTCAGGACCTGTCACTTAAAGAGTAGCACATTATGGACAGATGAGAGACTCCACCTACCAGAATTCTCAGGTTACACAGAATGAATGGTTAATTGATTTCAGACAGAGTCCCAGAGAAGAATCCTTTCTTTTGCAACACACACATTTTTGGTGGCTATCTACAATACACCATGTTAAGCATGCAGCTGCACACGTACGCCCATATACATGAGTTGGCATGTAAAACAGACTGCATTTCCCCAGGGAAGTTATTCCTCCTGCAGTCAAATTTTTTTTATTTTATTTTATTTTTTTTTGGCTATGTGAAACTGAGCTTACTTTGATTGTGCTCAGATCCATGGGATGTTTAATGATATCACAATAATCATGCAGTCCCAGTGCTTCCACGTCCACAGGTTTGTAGAAGGGCCATGCGTAGGCAGCATGCTTCTTGGCAAACATCTCTTTGATGATGCCACTGCAATACTTTAACTGCTCAGACACTTTGTTACTGTTACTCTTTTCTACCACATGCTGCTGAGAGTCCGGAACATCCTTCTTTGGAGGTTTCACTGGCCGGCTGCTTTCCCTTCGGGGGCCCATCTTGGCAGACTTGGGTTCAGTGGGCAGCGAGGAGGATTCATGGATTGCATCTATTGTTGTTGGCGTTGTGGTGTCTGCTTTCCTCTTCACTCCTTTTTTTGTCTGTAAAACAACAAATACAACAGCATTATAATATTTTATTTAGTCTTGTGCTCTTTTGTTACTATTGTATTCACAGGATCCACCTCTGGTTGTATATTAAAGGCTAACCACTAAGTACTCAGGAGACAGGACTAAAAAGTTAAAAAGCTTTCTATAAATACGCAGTTTGTACTGAGCCCTCTAGAAAATGTGTAACTACAAATTATCTTTATTATATTAGCAAAGATCAAGAGTATGGTTAAATGAGTACACCTCTACCCCAAAATAACGCTGTCCTCGGGAGCCAAAAAAATCTTACTGCGTTATAGGTGAAACCGCGTTATATCGAACTTTCTTTGATCCGCCGGAGCACGCAGCCCCGCCCCCCAGTAGCGCTGCTTTACCGCGTTATATCCGAATTCGTGTTATATCGGGGTAGAGGTGTATTCAAAATCTTTTACTTAAGAACCATGTTAGGGTCAAGTAAACCTCTTAGGATTCATTTCTACAGCTTGTGCGGTGTTTACCGAAGCCCAGATCTTGGATTATTTTGGCTGAGTTGCTTGATGGGATTTTCAGAAGTACCTAAGGCAATCAGGTGACTAACTCCCACTGAAGGGTCATATAACTTGGGTACCTAACTCTGTCAAGAACTTCTGTGGCTGTCAGGTGCCATTTACAAAAGTGCCATGTCTCAGGAGAAAAGAAGTGGCAATCTTACTGATGCAATGATATAAAAGGCATTGCTCAAAATAAGAAATATTAGTTAGCAGGGTCTGATCTGCTGAAGATGTATGCCAAAATTTTCAAAAGCAACTAGTGATTCAGGTACTCAACTTGAGACACAATAAAGGAGCCCAATTTTATTGGGTGGGAACTCAGCTCTTTTTGAATAGTAAATTTAAAGAACGTTATGTTGCACATTCAAAAATTGAGGCACCCAAAATTACTAGTCACTTTTGGATAGCTTAACCACAGTGACACAGCTTTTCAAGCCAGATGGCTTTCTTTTCCTTGAAAAGCCTAAAAAAAACACACTATTAACCCCAGTACACAAGGCTGCTGGCTAAATGTTTAGTGGAAATTGTGATGGGCAAATACTGTTCTACTCAATGACTTTGCTACAGTCAACAATCTATGGAAAACAGATTCTACTTTTAATGGATAAGGACAAGTGAGGCAGGGTCTTAGTGGTTAGAGAAGAGGACTGGGAATCAGAACTCCTGGACCCTAATCATCAATCTATGATTCTGCCCTTGACCTGCTGTATGACCTTGGACAAGTAACTCAGGTGAGATTTTCAAAGACAAATGAGGAGTTAGGAGCCTAACTCTCCTAAGTGCTCTTTAAAATCCCACCCTTCACTTCTGTGTGTCTCAGTCCCATCCCTCCAATCAGTAAAAATCTGTAAAGCAATTTTAAACCCTAAGATAAAAGGGACTTCACAATGAATGTTTTAAAATAGTCATCCAATAAAATCTTCTCTCTTCTAGAGAGAAAATTGAACACAAAGAATCCTGACTCACTAACTCCACAGAGTCCTTGTTTACTCACCTTCACAGGCTGTGCAGCTGTTGGGATAACAGGTGGGTGTGCCTGAATGGGCTGGGGAGCGGGGGTTGAGGGAACAGAAGGTGGGGGAGGAGGGGGAGGAGGTGCAGGTGGTTGAGGAGGCACCACGGTCATTACTGGCGGCTGGACAATAAGGTCAGGGGTCACAGAAGGAAAGGAATGAGTTGTTTGCACAGACTGAAGATTCTGTTGTGGGGCCTGCGTCTGAGCTGGGGATGATGCTTGAGTTACGTTTTGTACCGTAGATGCTCCTGGTTTGGGTGTAACTGTCAAAAAATGAAGGAATAAAGAAGGGCCACACTTAATGCTTCAAACGTACTCATTTTGATCAGGCAACAAATGCACATTTCATAATGGTCAGTATTATTTTTTAAATAGTGGTGCTTGGGTAACAATACTTTAGCGCATCCTTCCCCGAGTAATCAAATTCAGGACAGATACTAATCAAATTTTTCATGATCCATTTTAAGTAGAATCAGGTCCAAAGACACACTGCCCTCAAAGGGGTCCCTATCAGAGCCGGGTGAGAGTCTATTCTCCTTCCCCTGCCTGCTTATGTTTTTCTTGCCATTCACATGGCTACAGTTCACAGTTACGAGGCTTGTGGTACCACGCGGGCAGAACTTCCTTCAGAAGCAGTCAATACCCATCAATGAACAACAGCTGTTGCTATTCAGTGGCAATAAGCAGTCACGTCAACACATCTGCAACAGTCTCAGAGAATGATCATCAATCTGCCAGCTAGCAGGAACTCCCATGAGGCAACTTTTAACATGAAATGCAACAAGAATCTCAGATACCTGTGCAAAAGCCAGATACCTGTGAACACAGGGTTTCCACATTAAAGGATGGGAAAGGCATTTTGAAAGTCATGCCCCTAAGTAATTGAGGAATTCCACCATACTTGGTGGCACCTTAAAGACTAAAAGATTTATCTGGGCATAAGCTTTCGTGGGTAAAAAACCCACTTCTTTTTGCACTTCTTACCCAGGAAAGCTTATGCCCAAATAAATCTGTTAGTCTTTAAGGTGTCACTGGACTCCTTGTTGTTTTTGTGGATACACACTAACATGGTTACCCCTCTGATACTTGGTACCATACTTGGTGTTAACCAGAAGCACTGTCTCCTTTTGATAGTGTTTGCAGGGTGACGTTTGTCAGCACAATAATCTCATGCTAGGAGGCAGTACTTCTGAGAAAGACACCCACCCATTGCAGGCCAGCAGGCATTACAAGAGTACCCTCCTAGCAGACATCAGATATATTTCACTGTGTCTGTTAGCAACAGTTCTATTTTTATATATGCAAATTCCAGGAAAAGGAGCACCTATCATTCTAGAAAGGGACTTCCTGACATTTTAACTTGCATACTATTTGGAACATCCATTCGCCCAATCACTAACAAAAACTAATCATGAGCAAAAAAATGTCTGATTTTTAGCTTGCAGAAATTCTAACTAGGCTAACAACCTGAAATTAAGAGATCACAGTGTAGGCCAGCAAATACAGTAGAACCTCAGAGTTATGAACACACCAGTCACCCATACACCCCATTTGGAACTGGAAGCACGCAATCAGGCAGTAGCAGAGACCAAAAAAAGAAAGGCAAATACAGTAAAGCACTGTGTTAAACAAACTACCAAAAAAAAGTTAAAAAAAAGTTTTGACAAAGGTAAGGAAACTTTCTCTGCTTCTTTCATTTAAATTAAGATGGTTAAAAACAGCATTTTTCTTCTGCATAATAAAGTTTCAAAACTGTATTAACTCAATGCTCAGTTGTAAATGTTTGAAAGAACCACCATAATGCTTTGTTCAGAGTTCCGAATCACCTCCATTCCCGAGGTGTTCATAACTCTGAAGTTCTACCGTATCTATATTTTGGCTGCCATTTCCCAGTATGAGGTCTCAAGTACAACCACCACTAACGCAACCATTCTTCTTATTGGATGCGGAGGTTGGCAAACCAATTTACAGCAGCCTCAGCACTGAAACGCAAAGCCCTCAGACTAAAAAGCTAGGAAAAGCAGTGGAAAGGCCGAATCTGTATTGAAAATGCTGTTTCCCTAGGCTGAATCTCAGGAATCTTCTGAATGTCGGGTGAATGGTAATATGAAAATAAGCGTTCTGGAGGTCAGGGGCCAAAAGCCAGTGTCCTTTCTCTAACCACAATAATTCTGACATTAGAGTCACCACTTTGAAATGTTGTGTTCTCATAAATTTGTTGAGGTTTTTGTAAATCCAGAATGGGTTTCCACCTGCCAGTCTTTTTCAGAGTTAGAACGTAATGGGAATAAAAACCTCTCCCCGTGTTCTGATGGTACAGGTTCTTTGGCACCTAACTGAGCATCTCTTTGACCTGCATCTTGTACTGCATGAATCCTTCCTGCAATCTGGATATGTTCAGTTAGCTGCTGGTGTCTGGGATAAGCCACAGCACAATTCTCACTGTTCTAAGTTTGTGATTATGAAGAATGGACTTTGTTTTATAAATTAACGTTTTTGGTTGAGATTAAAAAATAAAGCTGTAACAGGACACTTTAGAGACCAACCTGTAGAATTCAGGTAGGGAGAGAGGCAGACTGTAAAAGAGGGAGAGAGAGGGGGGGAGGGGGAAAGTGTGTGTGTGTTCCACAGCATGAAGTTCTTCAGAGTGTAGATTGAGTCTTATATTACCAGAATCCCAAATGTAGCCAGCAGAAGTCTTGAAAGCATATATTCTTCTTCTAGAAGTGTCCCTGTGGGTGTTCTGCTTTAGGTGTCTTGATGCCATGTGCTTTTAATCAGAGATTTGTGGTAGCAGTGCCTGGTTGGGCCATGCACACGGTGTAGCCATCTCGCGCCCTGCCAAGCGGTTACATGGTGGTGTGCAGCCAACCCCCGAGTTCCTTCGCTACCACTTTTGGCTTGAGTCGGAGTGACCAGCAGCACCCTCTCTTACCTCAAATAAGCTTAATAGTTCATAGTTGTTCCTGATAGTGTTAGCTTAGTTGTAGTTAGCTGCCCCATCCCCTTGCCCTTCATATTTAATATTTCACTTTTTCATTTTAAAAAAATTATATTTTTCACCTTTCCTCTTTTATCCCTGCCTCGTCAGGTACTCCGCTATTGCCTTAAAAATAAAAAAAGGGGGGGGGAGGGGGAAATGGAGAAACAGGGATAAACCCTGTTTTTCTTTCCAAGGACTTGTTCTCTCAAGCATGCCCAGCGCACCTGGCTTTAAACACTGCCTGATTTGCAGACTTTCCATACTGGTCTCTAACGGCTACGCACAATGTCCCCCCTGCTTTGGCAAGACACACATTACCCAAAAGTGTCTGCACTGCAGAAAACTGACAGCCTGGACAAGGAAGGCCAGGGATCTCCAATTGAAGCTCCTTATGATGAAGAAATCCCTCAGACTGGCCTCTAACCCCGAGTCCAGGACGCTTCCTGGCCAACGGGCGGCAGCATCTGACGGGATCCGCTTCAACAGCGGCTGTTAAGGAGCCTGCTTCTAGAAAGGATACCAAAAAGCCACACTCATCCCTACACCGAGAATTGCCTAAAAGAAAGTGATCTCCAAATGAAAAATCTGCCCCGGTACTGATGGCACCAAGAGTGCCGGACAGTGAGGCACCGGGAACGTCCGATACTGAGACTTTCTGAGGAGCTAAAGACCCTATGTGGGCAAGCTCTAATAGAGGTTCACACAGTAAAGTCAAGCCTCCCAGCTTGGCACCTACGCAACAGAAGAAAACCTCTGCACTGAGCAGTACAATGGCGCCACCTGCTGTACCTATGAAGCACAGCTCTGCCATCAGCACCGACAGCTTCAACTCTTATTCCTGGTCAGGGCATGTCCCTGGCACCGAGTGTCACAGTTCCGCAGCAATTGGGCATGTGGACCTGAAAGTGGCCTCAACACTTGAATCTCCTCTACTCGGTACAGACATTACCCCATCTAGACCAGGACCAAGCCTGTTAACCGCTCCCCGTGGATCAGCCCCTCCTATCTCCAGTGATGAGGAAGAAGAGGATGAGGCAGTAATATACACTTCATCACTAAACATCTACAGACATGCAGGGCTGGTATGGTCAACCATGGGCACTGTCCCTATACCATTCCCACCAAACTGACCATACTGGGATCCACGGGTAATGTATAGGGCCCAAAACCTCAGGCCCCCTATCCCGTCTAGGTCCATAGTAGCATGGTCCTCTCTGCCAACTGTCCCAGCACCCTCAGAGACACAAGAGGAAGAGACCCAGGAGCCCGAGGACACAACTGAAGGTGACACTTTGCTGCCCACTCACATCTCATTCTTCTCTCCTCCTCCTCCCCTTCCCCCAAACCACAGGGGATGATTTAATATCTTTTCAAAACCTCTTCAAAAGCACAACTACCAGCTGGAGTTCTGGAGTCGATGGGGAGCGTGATCGGGGATCAATTTTATCGCGTCTTCACTACCCGATCCGGCAGGTAGTGAAGACCTGCCCTAAGTGGACAAAAGGGGGTGGAGACTGGCATTCTGTCAAAACCAGCACTGCCTGCTTCCCAGTTACTGAGAAGTCAAAAGCAAGTGATCTTGAAAGCTTATGGATCAATGTTCTCTAACAGATTAAGGCACAAGATGGGGTATTAGCTGGTGGCTGTTACAGACCACCAAATCACAATGGAGAACAGGATGGCTGTATCCTTAAAAGACCTACCTATAACTTGGGGAGGACTTCAATTTGAATGACACATGCTCGAGGGTCTCATGCTGCCAGTATTAAAACATCCTCAGAATTTTTAAAACTATAAATGACAATTTCCTAACTCAAAAAATGATGCATCCAATATGGGGAAAAATGTACAGTAGACCTCACTTTAACAAATGAAGAATTAGTCACAGAACTAAAATATTCAGAGATGCAAGTGATTATGATTTGATTGCATTTGTTAATAATGTCCAAGCCAGTAATATAGATAAGTAATGTTTTAAAAGGCTAATTTCACAAAGATGAAGATAACTCAGTCAAATCAGCTGGAAGAAAGAATTTACACACACAAATGTGAATGATAATTGGGAACTGTGTAAGAACTTTTAACTAAATGCTCAAAAAGTCACAACTGAGAAAGATGGTTAACAATTGAGAACACTGAATAAAAGACCTGCCAAGCTAAGTGAAAGCAACTATAAAAATAATTCTCTCACACACACACACACACTATATATATATATACATATATATATGTATATACATATACATATATATATATATATATACACACACACACACACACACACATATACACACACACACACACACACACACACACACACACAC